TACCCGAGGCAAATAAAGAAAAATAGAAATCAATAAAAGCATCATTAATCTCCTCTTCACTTTCCATCCAGTCCCCCCTTTCATTTTTCAAACGAACAACCTTGTTTCTTAGCCTTCTCTGGATAGTGCTAGAATGAAAAAACCTTGTATTTCTGTCTCTACTTGATAGCCAATTAATTCTGGATCTTTGCCACCAGTATTTTTCCTCTCGATCCCAAGCATCATCAATTTTCTTTAAGCAAAGTTTCATTGTCTTGCTTCCTTTTATTATCAAGAACACCTTCATTACATTCTGCAAGCTTCAAAGTGAGTTTTTCAATGGTTCTTCTAGCATTAGGAAAAGTTTCCCTATCCCATCTACTTAAAACCATTTGACAGTTCTTCAATCTTGCAACCACCTCTACCACATTTGAATGCCAATCACAATCATCCAGTCTCCAACCTCTCCTAACTACTGACAAAAAGTCTATATGTTCAACCCACATATTCAAATCTAAAAACCTTAGGCACTCTTATATATTTATAGTCACAATTAACAAATAACAAGTGATGATCAGACCCTACAGGATCAACGTAATATAAGAGTATTCTGAAAAACTATTCTAAACTCTTCATTAGCCATTCCATGGTCAAGCCTTTCCTTTACATGATTACTACACACACGTTTATTATTCCAAGTATATTTTGCACCTTGGAAGCCCAAGACCAACAAATGACGGTCAGCCATCATACTTTGAAAATTTAGGACCCTTCTAATGTCCATTGGCAATCTATCCAGCTTCTCATCACTTGACAAAATGTCATTGAAGTCACCCATGCAGAGCCATGAGCCTTGAATTCTAGCTGCCAAGCTGCGCATCTTATCCCAAACCGCCATTTTCTCTTCATTAGTAGGTGCACCCTACACAAAGGTCACATAACTAGGTACTTAAAATAGTGAAAAGCTTAAACTTGTGTGTATTATAATTTTTAGAGTGAAACCAGACATTAACAATCACATCTTCTGTCCGCCAAAGACCCAAACCACCATTACGTCCCCTTAGCTTCACATAAAATTCCTCCTCCATACCACAACTCCATTTAAGAGGCATAAGTCTCCTCCCCTTCAACCTAGTTTCCATTGGGAAGATAACTGAGGGCTTTCTCTTCAAGCTTTCCTCCCTCAGCTTATTTCTTGTGAAGGCTCTTCCTAAGCCTTGATAATTCCAACTTATGAACTTCATTGAGCCTTGGTGGTTGATACAGGACAACCACCAAAACCCTCAGCCAATAGCATACTCAGTTCACGAATTATATCATCCTTGACCTCCTGTGCAGCATCAGATCTGTCATTCATCATAGTTGTACTAGCCTTTTTTCTTGTATAAGCTCTCCTCGAAAGCTTTTTAACTTGTCTAAAGGTCCTTCTGTTTTCCTTCCTACTTTCCTCTGAACTCTTTTTTTCCACAGGAATGATTGCTTCCTCAAATTGTAGCTTCCTCCTTTTACACATCTGTATCACTTCTACCTCCCCGAATTCTCTTTTTAGATTAATCTTCTTCATTCCTTTACTGACTTCAGACATCGGTGAAACACTACCATAAACCATAATGGCCTTAGATAAATCCTCCCTTTCCTCTAAAATCCTATTATCACCTTCCTCCTTTGTCATATTTCTTTGAGTACTCCTTTCTAGCTCCACCTTATACATCTTTGTGTCTTTTAACATGGATTCTTGAGGCTCAGACTTCTTTTCTTTCTTTTCTTCATCCTTTTCCTTCTTTAAACTGAAGCTTGTCCCTCATTGCTAATAGCCTCATGTACGATCTTCTTTTTACCATTACTCTCAGGCCTCCTGATCTCCTTTAAATTTCTTTCAATAATTCTCTCAACCTTCACGAATTCTTCCCAACCTTCTTTATGACATCTAGTAGCATTCTCAAATGGTCTAGCAGCTTGAGCACTTAACCAACTCCCAAACTTCCCTACATCATCATTATCTTCCTCATTCTTCTTGTATTTACAAATTCTTTGATTGTGGCCCAATCTGCCACAGCAGAAACAATAATTCTGCAAACATTCATATCTAACCTTGATTTCCACAAGATCTTTATTTGGTCTAGGTGTCTACATACCAGTGATTAGAGGCTTACGCATATCAACTAGTACTTTTGCACGTAAGAAATTTCTTATTAAAAGTCCATCTCTTCTTAGATTCTCAACCATGACTACCTCACCAATCATTGAGCCTAATGTCAAAGCATTTTCCTCATCTATCCCCTCGAAAGGCAAATCGTGAAATTGAATGCAAGACGAAGAAAGATTAAAGTCAACCTCTTTATACACCATATATTCCTTCCATATTTGAATATTAAGCAAGAATCCCCAGATAGACCAAGGCCTGCCTCGCAAGAGTCGCAGATAATTCTCTTGGTCTGAAGTCGAAGATAAACACATTTGTTTCAACATCAATAACCTTTAGATCCTCACTCCTCTACAAATTCCATCCTTTCCTAATCATCTGAATAGTTGTTGTCTTGTTAAGGGATTTTTCCAAGATCACCTTGCTGACAAGAGTGCCACCATGAAACTTGCACTGTTGAGTCTTTTTCCAAACTAGATTTGCCTCCAAACCAGCTCTCCCACCAGAACCACCACTCATTTCTCTTACTTCCAACGTACCACCATCCATCGAGATGATCCCGATACACCAGAAAGAAACGTCACTCTAGCTATGCCGTCACAAAGAATGAGGACGTAGACGCTCTTTTTCTCCACTGCAGTGGGCGACGAAGGATCTTAATCACAAAATCAGTTATAACCACCGTAACAAACTCTCACAGAAGAGAGATAGAAAACTCTCACATGGGAGAGAACTGTCCAACTCAAATAAAATCTAAACATACCCAACCAGTTCCAACTGGGAAATGATTGCATGTCCTCAACTATAGAAATAACTTTGATTTTTATTTACAAGCTATTTCGTAAAATCTACAAAGAGATTGAGTTTTTTCCTCACTAACACCCTTATTTTTAATGTGTTTGAATAATTATGATAAAGATAGAAATTGATAGGTATATACTACCTTCGCTCCTTAATCTAAGAGCTAATTGACTAATTTGAGTAGATTAAAAAAAACTAGTTAAGTTAGTTTTTTTGTAATAAATAGGTGTTATTTTTTCTAAAATATCCTTTCTAATCAAGAATATTGGTTAGAATTACGACTATTACAAGAACTATCTTAGAAAAAATGGGTAAACATAAAAGACCAAATGGATTGAGATATCATATTTAGGATCAAAATAAAAGTCAAACGAGCTCTTATATTAAGGACTGGAGGTAGTATCTTATAATTAAATAGGTGCAGATTTTGAATATATTATATATGATTTATAAATGTTTTATATTAAAATAATTTATTTATATTTTTTTCCCCTGAATTTAAGCATCAAAATAAAAAGTACTTTTTCTACAACGTATACTCATATCCCTTTTGTTTAGAAGATATAAAACTCTCCTTTGGTCATAAATGTAAAACTCATTTTATAGTGTAGTATTACAAAATGAGTCTTATATTTAGGATCACAGAAAGTAAAAGGGAGAGGGGAGGAGTTTTTTAGTAATAGAGTAATTAATTGTAATTTTTCCCAAAATTCAAAGGGACGGCAGTAGCAGAAATTGAAAATTGATGAAATAGGGTCTTTGAGTGTAGTTTATACCGAAAGAGAAAAATGAGGGATGTGAGCACTGAACGAGTTTCAGCTTTTCATTTTAAAAAAAAACAAAAAAAGAAAAAGATGTCAGGCTGAATTCATAGCCTGAACGAGTTTCAAAAAATGTAGCATATGGGTAAATATTTTTCATTATGTAACATTTGGGTAATTTATTTTAGTGTTTATAATATTTTGATAAAAATGTCCTATGAGGAAATTTAGCTAACCAATCCACTGTAAACATGGCTTCCCTGTGGATATGAAAAACCACAACTTACCAATCTCTATAAATGAGTAATTTAACATAGTCAACTATGTTCCTAAAGCCATGATCCCTCTCATAACCTCTAAAAGGCAAATTAACACCTTCTATACAATTATAATGCAAATATAAACCTTGAGAGCAACACAAATTCAGACCATGAATGAAGCCCATTAACCCTACGATAGCACCGACAACAGCAATAAGTTTACATTAAAACCACAAATCCAGCTATCATCCCGCTAGCGAATAACTAGGCCTGCCTCATTACTACCACTTCCTATCATCGAGCCATCCGCTTTCAATCTGATAAAGCCTTCATCTGTAGGCCTAGGTCTGTGCTTCAACGAGTGACCAAAACAATAGACGGAACATAGCCTTAGTCCTGGACTGAACAAGCCTTGAAGAAGCTAGAGTTTGCATTGAGGTAATCGTTTGAATCCTCGTTGCGAAACAGAATTGACCATTGGACCTTCTTGATAAAAGTCATACCTGCTTCATATGTTTAAATTCCATCCTACCCGTTCGGCTGCTTGTAATGAGTGGTTCAATCGCTCACGCTAGTCATGTATTTTCTTTTCACATATTCTTAAAACTGTATTTTATGTATATTTATACTTAATAAGGATGATGGATGGGTATATAAGCAAGAAACATGTGTGTGTGTGTTCTAAAATTACAAGTGTATGTATATATTGAATAAAAATCATGGAACATTTAAAAAAAATAGAAAACTGAAACTGAGAAAACAAAGTCCATCATTAGTTTGTTCCTCCCCAATATCCATTTTGTGGTCTAATGTCTTTTTGATAATTTCAGATAGCTGTAACATATGAAAAAATTGTTTTCATCTTTAAATGTACACCTGATAATCCACTTTAATTTTCCAGTCAACACAAAGAACCTAAAACTGCGATAGTTGAAAACAAGCCAGTCTCTGATAAATGTTCCCCACAAAATTCCTTCTCATTCCCATAAGATAAAATAACCAGATAGCACTTCAAAGACAGAATAAAGCAAAGTAACCGTAAAGAGAAAGGGAATATTTTACTAAGATACCTCTCTTATTATACCAAGCAATCATACAACAATAGCTGGCTGGGTCGAGGTTTCACCTGCAAACCAGCACTTCTACATAACTTACAAAAATGCAGTGCATAAGAAAAACAAATATACTTTTACTGGATTTAAATTCTCTGCAATAATGAACCAAAGCCTTTAAGAGAGAATAACACAAAGTGGAAGTGCAAATCATACAGTTACACTCTTTCCATTTACAGTTTATTCTCTCTTAATACAGATCCTTCAATTACTTGTAAAATGCAGAGAATCCAAATCCGTTTTTATCTTATGGAGACAACACTCCCTCTCTATACAAGAACAACTCTAGCATTCAGCCAAGATACCCGGTTGTCGAAAGGTACTAGATGTGCGAATGATCAAAATCCTGAGAAACAAAACAAGGAGGAAAAAAAAACTAGAAAAAATGATGGCAGTGTACCTCAAACTGACTAAACAATAGAGAAGCCACCATACTCTACAATTTCAAGATTCTATACTAAGAGAGAAGCTGCTGCTGAAAGCGTTACAGGATGGGAATTGAAATGCTGTTCTCATTGCTAGCACTATGATGATGAATTCGTTTTTGCACGGCCTTGACAGAAGCTACTCTTGCTGCATTCGCTGCTTTATTTGCAGCTGCTACTGCCCTGTTCACCCTCTCGTCTGCCTTGGCCACATCATAGGCTTTGTCTGCTGCTCGCCATGCTTCCTGTTGTTCATTACAACGAGAAAATCAATCATGAAAGCTAATAAGGAAGCAAATGTTGTCTGCTATTCACTAATCTTCTTTGCCTTTAATTTCACAAGGTGTTGCAGATTTGATTATATTAATAAAAAAGATGTCCATGCATGATGCACATATTTCCGTAAGCAAGCAATTAATTAAATTGTAAGTGACACGAGTAACTCTTAGGTCCTCTTAAGAATATCACTTCCTCTTCCAATGAAAAAGCCTAAGAATATAAAATGCTCTATATATGAAATGATGTTAAAAGCGGTAACAGTGTTGATCATACAATGCTTCATTTATGTGATAACGCCACTGTGGATAGCGGAAGGTGGAATTCAATTGCCTAACTTAACATTATTTCATTAGCAGATGAGCCACTGCTTATTTTATTTGAATTTTTCATTGGACATAGTACACATGTTGTGGCCCTCTGGCACTCAAAATTTCTCAAGTCAAGCACGCAAGCATTCACATGGATGCAATGAGGAGGAATTGGGATATGAAAACAATCCTTACCTTCCACTAATACCCTCCCCCTTTCTTTTCTTTTCTCAATAATTTCAAAGGTAATATTACCATTTCTAAAGTTTAGATGAACGCACAAGGAAACTGAATGAGAAATTCAAGAAGCTCAAACATTCACAAAGAATAAACTTAACTGCAAATCAAATTACAAGGATACTCCCAAGCCAAATTACACAGGAAATCTGGAGATCAACTCAGGCCCAGAATACATTTGCTACAGTGAAAATTAATGGTAGAAATGCTACGATGTAAAAAGTTATATGCCGAATGAACGCATAACTTTTTCCACTGTAGCATTTGGTTCTTTAATGGTAACCTGTTCAAAATACAAGTCATTCTCTTATTTTGCCAATTATTCACAGTAATGAAAGAATCATTCAAACAATAAGGACATATTGAACATTATCAAAATCATCCCTCTATTTACAATAAAAAGAATCAAAGGCCAAAAAATCATAAGCAAAAGAATGCACCTGGACTGCATTGAGCACTTTGGAATGATTGACACCAACAGGAGACAACAGATAGGTAGTATTCTGTGTGGTTGGAACATCCATAACCCCGTTTTGCCAGTAACCAGACTGGGTTTCTCCATTTCTAAATGTATACATGCCCAGCCCTTGTCTTCTGCCCTCGTGCCAAGCTCCTTCATAGCGATGCCCATTTGCAAAATGATATATGCCAAAGCCATGCATCTTGTCCCCAAAGTATTCTCCAGCATAAACATCCCCATTTCTAGTGATGCAAGAGTTAATTTCCAAAATATATTAGAAATATAGAAATTTTTCTGTGGAAACTGACAACAGAGAGATACAGACATAACTCTATTCGATAATACAACCATAAGTATCCTTGCAAGTGAAGCTATCCCACGTTTGCAAGGATTTTGAATGATGTATTAATGATCTATTCTCTAAGTGGATGCCCATGATCCAACTCACTCATACTATTCAGACCAACAGACATGAGAGGCATTCATTTTTGCAAGTAAAAAAGGGATCTGTCTAGTGTCTATACGTGCAATACTGCAATCAAGTGTCTATCAAATATCAGAGTACACTAAATAGGAAAGCAAGTATTCTGTTGATTTTGCAAATAATGTTTTCAATAAATATATTAGAATAAGAAAAGCCTTGAGCCAATAAGATGTCAAAGGATTCAGGCTTAAAAATAAATAAATAAATAAATAAGATGTCAAAGGATCCCAACATGCAAAGGGGTCAAAGAAAAGGAAAACTGATTCCAATGTACTTGGTAATAAAGCTTATAAGAAGTTCTATATGAAGGATCAGTCCTACAGCATAAGCAACCCCACACACACACACAAACCACAAACAGATGATGACATGTCATTGTGAAAAGAAATTCCGTGATTAAATGAGATCCTCAGACTATGGGCCATTGTAGTTGTAATCACTGATGACAGATTCAACAGTAGGACTTGAATTCAAACTTTGAAAGGAACACGACAACTTTATACCCAAGCCCTTACATCAACTGCCTCTTCCTCCCACAAAGTGAAATCAAATAGAGAGAATATTTTTCAAAGGCCATGGATATAAACAACAAAAGTAAATACAAATATTAAGCTTTTCCTGTGGAATTTTTTTTCAAATTAGAAGCATTCTGTCTCCTTTTTCTTGTACAAATTCCTTGTAACTTCCACTTGTGTCTTTCACCTACTAGCCTGAAAAATTCAGATCGTCTAAACACATGACTATATAATTATGATTGAATAACCTTACCCTCACAAGCTCATACACTAACTATTTTATATCCAAATTCTAGACTTTTACATTTCCAGAGCAGCCATGGACAGGGTCCAACTGAGAAACCTATTCTAATCATTAAACTACATAGTGTTACTAACAATCAAAAGTGGAAAAGCATGCCAATTAATCAAGGACAAAAAGGCTGGCAATCATAGAAAGTATCTGTTTTATCAGACACGTTAATGGAGGAATATAGAACAGGCAAGGAAATCATGCATCCCCCCCAAAAACCTTTGTTTTTTCCCCTTAAAATTTGGCTTTTTCAAAGGCGGAAGACCTAACACAGATTAACTTTTTATTTTTATTAAAAGAACAATATAGAAGTTGTCAATTGAGTCACGAATCACATCCACTTAAATACTTTCTTTATCTTCTTTTCCTTAATCTTCCCAGGCAAAAATGAAGCCCAAATAAAGCAATGATTCCTTTATACATTTATCCTACCCCCACTTAGTCATACATAATTGTTTTCCATTTCACCCCCTTGTCCATCCCCTCAAAATAAGTTTTTCAAGAATTTGCTATGCTTTAAACAAACACACACGCAGTAGAAAAATGACATGGCTCTATATACTAGATGTAAACTCTCTAATTCTTAAAGGGGATGCAGGGCTGTTGAATTTAAGGCCTCCAGCTCCCAGGTCATCTATTCAACCAATTTTAAGCTATTAAGATTCATTCAACTCACCTTTATGTGAATTAATATTATAGTTCGTTGACACTCATTGGTGCTCGACAGCTAGTTGGTTGATGATGGAATCCCAATTCGGATATGCAAACAAGGAATGAAATAGCTATGTCACGTGGATACTGGGCAGCGCAAAATAACTTACTTGGATTACTCCCTAAATATTATCATGATGAGCGAAGTCACGGAAGTCAACAAACAATTTTATAAGAGGTTCATTAGGGTGGGTAGTGCTATAAACAAGGATGAAGGAAGGGGGAGAGTCGGGTGGGATTTGGCTATGCATGTGTGAGTTACTAGTTCCTTGAATGCAAGGAATATAGTTCTTTCCCTTTTCTGTTGATTTCTGCTAGCTTGCTCTGTTCCTAGATATAATTTTGTGCGAATTTGCTGGAATTCGCAGTTAGGAGAGTAGGATCTCACAATAACGTGCGTAGCAATGTCAATAAAGGTCATCCCCTTGGTGTGCTGGTAACATTTTTCTTTCTTTTTTCTTTTGATTGCCACTATCTTGCTCCTCTTTCCGCTCTCTATAATTATGCTGTGAACTCAAAGAACATCATAGTTAAGGCAGCAGGATCCTTCCTAAGAGTTGACTGCTATAAGAGAGGCTGGTAGTGACAAATAGTGAGTGAGTTAAGTAGAATTTGGTATTCATGGGCAAGGTCCTAGCCTCCTGGATTGATAGCAAAATTTTTCTTTCTCTTTTATTTTGATTGCTGCAAGCTTGCTCCTTTTCACCCCTTGTGAATTCAATGATTAGGAAGCAGGATCCTAACAGTTGACTGCAAAAAGAACATGCACAAGAAAGCAACGCTCATACACTAAAATTCAGTAGTGTTAAAAAATATTTTAACGTAAAAAGTTACAGGAGATACGATGGCCTTGTTAAGTTTCTTTCTTACTCCCTCTTTTTGCCATAAGAAGGCCAAGGATTATCATGAGTGAACAGCCTCTCAGAAGTCAGAAGAGATTTTCTTCCAATCGCATAAAGCGTATTTTGTGCAACACTTGCCATGAAAAGGCAATTAGAAGACCCAAGCAGAGTATTTTTTTATTTATCACTTAAAACCATAACAAAAACGAGAAAGAGAATGGCACTAGAGATTGTGAATATATGAACTCCACGGTCAAAAGGGTAATACAATATCACATAACAGATAAGTAAACCTATTCTCACTCTCTCTAACAGGCCTCTCTAAGCATTTTCTACACAGATAGTAGTATCTATGTCTCTTCTAGGGAACCTACGCAACAGGAAAACAGACACGTGATCAAGTTTGAATGTATGGAATAATAATGCCAGCAACATGTTCATCCTGGACTATAAAACAAAACATTGCAAAGTGATGAGATTGCAAAGCAGAACAAAAATAATGCAAAACAAAAGGAAAGAAAAGCATATTGGACTTCCTAATTACCCAGTGCAAACTTGAATTGGAAGAAGCCCAACGGGAAACAATTACAAAATCAACTTAAGCGTCTTAAAAGAACCAGAAAGATATTATATCTTGGTTATTCATTAGTACTCTACTAGCAAGAAACGAAGATACCAAATCTAGAAGAATTATACATTTCCTCATAAGAGTCCGTGTAATTTGCTTCCTTAAACTCACCTGAAATGGTAGTGACCAAGCCCATGCTTGACGCCCCATTTGAATTCCCCAACATATCGACTCCCATCCTCGCAAGTGTGACCCCCACAGCCATGACTCTGCCCATTAGACCATTCTCCAGAATATACGTCACCAGTATAAAATCTATACACCCCAAGTCCTTGCCTCAGGCCTTGCCTATACTGACCACGGTAGCGACTACCTCTTGCCCACGTTTCTACTCCATACCCATCATATTTTCCATCAACCCAATCTCCTTCATATCTCCCACTCATATTGTAGTAATACACCCCACTTCCCGAACACATACCCTTATGAAACTCTCCCTCGTAAACGTCTCCGTTGTTGTATACCTGAACCCAACAGCCCGAATTCAGCCTTCTTTCCTGTTTTTGGCGTGACCCAATTGTCCAAAACACTGGAAAATGTTGTGCAGATTGGGAACATAATTTAAGCTTGATTGGGAACGAACGCGCAAGAAGGAAACGAATAGAAGGAAGACCAGGGATTGCGAGATTAAGCGAGAGCAAGAGCGCAGCGGAAAAGGCAAAAGCGGAAAGGAAATCGAGGACGAAGGAGTGACTTGGATGGGAGACGAAGAAGTAGAAGAATGGAAAAGACAACAACAAGATAGCCCGCAGATGAACACGAAGGTGGCGTGTGTGTTTAAGCCGGCGGATGATTCGAAAAGCAGCGCTTCTAGTGGCAATTGAGATGCGGAACAAGGAGGCAATCTGGGACTTGAATTGAGGAGAAGTAGTGGGGAAATGACAAAGGGTTGGAGATTTTGAAAGAGACGAAGGCGTTTGGTTCAAAAGGGGTCGCTTGTAAGGAGCAGTGGAAGATTCAGACTGAGGAGGATTCTCTGCGAGGATTTGAGCAAGAAGATGATGATGATGTTGATTGTAAGGGTGGTTCTGGTGAATTGAAGAAGCGTAAGTAAGAGGGGGTGTTGGATTGAAATCGGAAGAGACGCCGCTGCTTTCTTTTCCGATCTGAACTTCAGATTTCTTCTGATGCATTACATATGGAACTACTGTGACTTAACTCTCTCTCTCTCTGAAATTTTCTTTCTTTCTTTCTTTGTTTCTTTCTCTCTATCACATTCCCTCTGCGTATTTTTTTGAAATTGTTCTCTCACTATGCCTGAACTTTTACATAACTTTCTATATCTGCCAATCAGATTACGGGTTTAGCGTTTCTATCTCCGGTTGTCAATGGCTACTACGGTAATGCGCGTCCGAGGAATTTGCGGTAACGAAGGCGACCTGTGAGATGTGAGGATAATCCAATATTCAATTGAATCAAATGTCATTTTTTGGACTATTGTCCATTTAACATTTATAAGTACACCAAGGTCCCATTTTTGGATTGCAACGAATAAGCATGGTCTTTTTTCAAATAGAAATATACTCCCCAGCGACATTGCATCTTGCTCCTCCGCTAAAACTTAATTTTTTCAAACCTAAACCCTAAATTCTAAATCTTAAAACTTAATTGAGAAGTTAGACCTATTTTACATATTATTAATTTTTTAAAAATTAATTCTATTAATATTTTTCAATAATAGTCAAAAAGAAGATGATAAAAAGAAATTAAGAAAGATATTTAAAAATTTTAAAAAGGATTGTCGGAGTATTTCTCACTTTAACAAATTAAGAAATGGTTGTTAACTTTTTAAATTTATCTCAAATTTATTTTTTTTCCAAACTTTATTCATTAAATGGGATTGCAAAAGAGAAAAAAAAAAACAAGAAGCTACATTTAAGCATTAATTATAGAGATAAAATTGAAAAATAAGCATTAATTATTTTCCTAGTTATTTATATTTTAAACTAAGTAATTCTTTTAAAAACTATTTATATTGGGTAGCGAAGGGAGTATGATAATGTATTATACAAATAATTCAATTACGTAAATCAAAAAGGCAAAAGTATATATTAATTCTTGAACTTTACACAAAATTTCAATTTACTCATCTACTTTTAAAAATATATTTTTAGTTATTTAACCCTAAAATTATTAATTTTAAGTAATAATTTTTTATAACAATCGTAATTATTTTAAAAATTAAACTTAATATATTAATATTTGAGAATATTTTATCAATATTTAATATATCAATATCATTATTTTTTAACAGTTTTAAGGTTAAAAAACTAAAAATATACTCTTTATAAAATTAAAAGACTAAAATTATATAACATATTAAGAAAATTAAGAAAAGTTGATTAAATTTTGTTAGAGGCAATCAACGTAAAATATATTTATTTTTAAAACAAACCTTAAAAGGAGAGTAAAAGAGATTTAAAGCTTGAGTATAGTTACATGAGATACAATTAATACAATGGTATGACATTTAATTAATTAGGTAAAAAAATTCGTAAAAATTTCAAGCATGCTTTAATATATTTTATGAATAGAATTGTGCTTATTCAAAAGATTGCATCTCATATATAGGAATAATAAAATAAATAAACATTTTGAAAATATAAAATAATATTTTATTTATTTTCCAATTTTTTCTCCAACTTATTTTTAAAATATTAAAAACATATAAAATTGTGAAATTATTAAGATAAAATAAATACTATTCTAACTTAATGATATAAGATATAAACACTGTTCCTCACCTTAAGTATTAGAATATTCTTGTCCAGTGTAAAAATTAAAAATATGAAATTATTTTGAAAAAAGTAAATAAATTGTAAAATTTATTCTGTTCGAATGTATATTAAATGGAAATATTTGGAGATATTCAGATTTTAAAAAAATAAATAAAAATATATCTCATCGATATATTTTAAAAAATTATTTAATGAAGAGTAAAAAATAATTAATAAACAATTTTATTTCTATAATAACACCATATTTAAAAATAGTAATAAATAATAACTCATTTTAATTTTATCTTCAGATTTTTTACTTAAAATTGAAAACTTCTCTGCATTTGTCTCATTTACATTAGATATTTTTTCCCTAAAAAATCAATATGCCGGATGCTTATGTTAGAAAGAGACTTCAGGCGCCGCTGCTGCGCATAGCATAGTTGAAAGTGAAGTGCACTATTATGATAATAGCTTTGACGAAAAGGTGTTTGGATAGAAACCAAACCATGGTTTCAAAAATGCTTTTATGGTTTACGAAGTAAATATGTGGAGGAATTTGTTTCATTTTGTGAAAAAGTGCTTCTGAAACCATGGTTTGGAGGTTACCAAACACCGTAGAAATCCTAACAGGTTTTTACAGCTAATGGGACACGTCAGCATTGCTTATTAAAAATAAGAAGAAAAAAGAAAAAGATCATGCTATATTACTTCAACGCCTGTCTGATTTTATATATAAGAAACCTTTTTTAATAGATAATATATTTTGGCAAAAAAAATAGATAATATATTTTTAATTTTTTGTGAGCCTTATTTGTTAATCTTATTTTTTATATATGTAATTATTTTTAACTAATTTTTTAATTTTCGTAACCTGATCATTTGTATTTTATAAAAAGCAAAAAGGTGTCTGGACCTTGAAAACTAAAGTGAATAGAATGCCTACTAGATGAATATGATAATGTAATATTTCCTTCACATGATTAATATAAAAGCTATATAATTAATTTATAAATACTAAAAAAAAGTTAGTTAACCTAGTTATTTGTAATAAATAAGTATTATTTTTTAAAAATATTTTTATTAAACAAATGCATTAAAACAATTATCATAACCATCATAGATATTACTTGAAAATAAAATAAATAATTATGATGAATAAAATGAATTAGAATTTTATATTTAGAACTAAATTAAATCTCTTTAACAAAGAGATGAGCTAGTGTAGTAATGTCAGATCTACAAACGTAAAACATTATGTAATCCCCGTTTGATTAATGCAAATCACTTTATCAAAATATACAAGTATACATAGACGTATATGAGTTGAGATTCTAAAGAGTGCATGAAAATTGAAAAATTGTCACAGAATATTTATTCATGATTGATAGTGTTGCTGGTGAGCTAAGTCAATAGATCAATAATACTCATGCCATTATTTTACATGAAAAAACTAGTTGAGAAGTTAATGTTAATACTCCTCCTATACTTAATATAAGACCCATTAACTAATTTGATTAGATTAAGGAAGTTAGGTAAGTTAGTTAATTATAAGAAATATGATATGTTTTTCCTAAAACATCATAATCATCTTTTTTAATATCTCATCTCACTGTTTTACTTGATTATAGTTGAGGGAGTATCCATAGGGGTAATTTAGAAAAAATTAATAAATATGAGAAATTAGTCTTATATTTATGATCAAAACCAACTCAACAATTAGGTCCTATATTAAATACCGGAGGAATATTAAATATAAGACTTTTATTTTATTTTATTTTTCATAATTATTATTTTTTCAAACTGATTTATCTAATTTATGAATTAATATATAATTTAATGTTACATGTATTAAAAAAAAATCACGTCACGGGATATTTTATTTTATATGACAGCATTGCAGACTGACTGATACATTAATATAGCACTCCTTCCAGTTCTTATCACCAGCTCACCTCCATAATTCTTAATATTTTTATTTTGCCAAAATAATTCTTACAATAGAAGTTCTTATCTAAATCATTAATTTTTAAAATATCCCTTTACTTTAATATTCCATAAGAATCTAATCATCTCCCTAATTAACTAAACAACCTTCTCAGATAAATTAATTTTATTGCGGATAATATAAATTTTACAAAAATTAACTAATTTTAATTAACTTTCCTAATTTAAGTAAATAAAATTATTTACAGATACTTATTAGAAAGACTGAAGAGAATAATACATATCTTTCTTGACACACACACACACACATATATATAAACCATAAGTACTCAATAACTATTAGGATTACATTTTCTATTGTTTTTACATGAATAAAATTTATTTATAGTATTTAATATTGTGAAACCTTTTGCAATTTACTTCCTTCCCAATAAAATTGTCAAATTACTTTTTAGGAGAAAAAATTTTAAATGAATTAGATTTCAGGACTCGCCTCAAGACTCAAAGAACACTTATCAAGATATGTACTTAAATATTATCACTAACAAAGTCTTCACTCCAATATAATAAGAGGATATCTATACTTAGGGAAAAAAATTCAATTAAAGCCTACCAGAGTCCATCCTATATCCCATCATCTTCTCACCGTAGTTCTTGCCATCATGAAACTATTAGTCTATTGCGCATGTGTTTTATCAAAAACTTATGTGTCAAACTGAAATTTGGTAACAGTCAATTATTATAACAAATTTATGTTTGGATATATTTTCTAAAACATCAATGTAATAAACTAAAAGGTTTTTCAAAAAGTAACATGTCGTTTTTACTATTGAAAAGTAATTAAAAGTTACTCAAAAATCAAAAATAATTTTTAGAAAGTAAATCAAATAAGCTTTTAACAACAAAGGAATTTTCCAAGTTAAAAGGAGGCATAAATAATCCTTTCATTTACACTGCCTAATCTTAAATATAAGAGTTGGTTTTAAATATAAAACCCTCATCCACTTAATCTTCTACATTTATTTATTTTTTTCAAAATAGTCTCATGGTAATTGCACATGTTAAACAGTTTTCATTTTGGTACACATAAATAATAAGAGTATTTCAGGAAACTTAACACTTTATTATTATATATAACTAACTTAACTAATGTTCTTAAGATTCACAAATTAATTATTTAACTCTTCTATTAAGAATAGGAAGTAATACAAGGTTTCACTAAAATTAATTTGTTACTATTTGAAAATGTTTTATCAATATTCAAAATCTCAATATCATCATTTTTTTTATTAATGATTTTAGGATTAAAAAAATTAAAATATAATTTTTAAAGTTAAAGAAATAAATTAAAATTTTATATAAAATTAAATGACAAAAAAATAATTAAGCTAAAAAATTACGTGAACGGCTATCAACTTTTTCAATTGGCCTTGAGTCTTGAAAGTGAAAATCAAGGCCCTAACATGTTCTTTAATGGTTTCCTACAAAAGAATCCATGTCCCTACATAATATATTTGGCGTCTCCCCAACTTTTTTC